GTCTGGTGAATTTTATTGCAGACAAATTTCATAATTTGTAACTCTAACTGTTACTTCATGGCTATTACAAAAACTGCACTCTTTCTACTATAACTTATTTTGTCAGTAGTACAGGTGAAAGAAAGTTTAATAGAAACAGATAAAAGCAAAGTGGATACATTAGTCCTTTCTAAAATTAATCTGTTTCCGATTATTGCTGGTTCCCATGCAGTGAGTTGTAAAAATATTCATAACCCCTACTTAATGACTGGTCATGTATGGTATTTGCTGCGTAAGAGACTGGAGATTTTTCTTATGAATAGCACTATTAACCATTGAACAGAGAAGCCTGGGTCAATCGTGCCTCCATACTTACAAAACAAATACAAAGATATTAATCTGAAGTTAAATATATAATTTTTAAACGAAAGAGTTTAAACGAAAATGAAATAAAAATTGAGGCTCTCTCTCTGTGGTTCACCGTCTAAGGGTTAAATATTTTAGATGCTTAGTACAATCATTTGGGTCCTTTATTATGAAAGTGAGGTTAGCACATTTTCATCTGGATCATAAAATTTTATATTAAAATTTTCATATCAAATCAAATTTTTTTTCAAAAATGGATTTGAAATGTTTCATTGGGTGTTTCTAAAATGTATTTGAACAACGACTAACATTTCAGCAGGATAACGATCCTAAACATATAAACCAAGTTGCAAAGCAACAGTTGTTATATGAGGCACTTAGAACGAAAGAGATACAAGCATTGGCATAATGAGGATTTTTTGGGGGTAGGCTCTTACAAATTGTAAAAATTTTAAATTGTGGAATTTTAGAATGATGAGGGAAGCCAGTCCATATTTTTGGAAGGACCAGGTTTATTCTGCCCTCTACCTCGTTACGCCAATGAATGCAAGTGACATTCCTACAAATTTTTGAATTAAGAACAGAAATAGTTCGTTGAATCGTTAAACATAATGTTAGAAATAAACAAAGTAAAAAATGAAGATGTCAATTGCAACTCTTTAATTTTTAAGTGCCTCATATAGCACCCTATATTTATTTATAACACTTTCTTAAAATTCTGATGTTAATTCGATGAAGCACATATGGATAAAAATGGAAACAAGAATGAAAGAAATATGAAACAAATAAAGAAAGAAACGTTAAAGTGAAAACTATTGATGATTTGAAATAATATAAATAAGAAATACATATACATACATATATGAAAATTAATTCAGAAGTTACAAGTAGACCTATAAAGTATTAACTATTAAGATATGCATAGGTATACGTATTATTGTATACCAATAATACGAGTACGAATTTTATAAAAGTTTATTAAATCAAAGTTTTTATCACACTAAAATGTTTTCTATGGAAGTTCAGTAGGTTTTTCCGATCTGAGTTTTTAATTTAAAAAAAAGGTTTACTTTTTCCTTTTTATCTCAATCTATATTAAAAGATGTTAACGAATCATTGGAGAGTAAACATTGAATGTTCAACACCTTTTAAAGTGGATTGGAATAAACAGGGAAAAGAGAGTATAAAACTGTTATTTTTTTATTGATTCTTACCTGCAAAATTTATATTGAATGATAATTTACAAAAAAATTAATCAGCATCTTATTTTTTACACAAAATGGGGAATATTATACACGTTCATCTCGAAACTGAGACGACATGAGTAATTATGCAACTCACTATGTAAGGATTACCTAATAATAAATTGCTGGAAAAAAGTGCTTGTTCATTAAGTAACACATAATCGAGTACTGTGAACTTTCGTTCACATGTGGATCGAAATGTGGAATTCGATGTGGAAATATTTTGTGAGTCATTGACTTACAGTGATGGTTCAGCAAACAGTAAAACAACCTATAGTTTCTAAAGTAAACCCAGTGGCGTAACTAGGATTTTTTTCCGGAATATGCCAGGTCCCTTAGTGATTTTGAGATTATGGAATTTTCAAGATCCAGACTTTCAAAATTTTAAAACTTTGAAATTCTAAAATTTTAGAAACCTGAAAATCCGAAACTCCGAAATTTTTGAATTTTGGTATTTTAAAATTTCAAAATGGTGAAAGGACCAATCCAAATTTTTAGGGAGGGGCTGGTCAACATTTTTGAGGATGCCAGAACCACCTATCTATACACCAATGAACTATAGTGTTGTAACTTTGAAATAATATATCAAGTTTCTGTTTTAAATAGTAAACTTCTTTTTAAAAGAAATAAACAGGTAAATTGGACTGTTTCGCGAACAGTTTGTATATACGAATTCATTATCACGTTTTTTTATAGAGTTCTGATTACAAATTTTCAAATCTTTTTCTCCGTCACCCTTAGTTTAAAAAAAAAAGCACGAGGCCATAATACTACCCTTTCCTTTACCTAAATAATAAGTATTGACAGTTAGTACGTGTTATAATAAAATAATTTTTAACAAAAAATACAACCGACTTCAAAATGCGCTAAAAAGTATGAAATAATTTTTATTTCACTTGTACCAATATTCTACAGCTATTGATAAAATTTATTTAATCTTTAAATAGTATACCTACTAAATACATTTCAACCTTTTTGGAGGCGGCGCAAAATTAAAAACTTTTCTTCTACTCGGAACATCGTAGTTCAGGGGTTGGCAACTTATAACACGCCGGTTATCGAATGACCCATTTGATAATTTCAAGTTAACAATATTCAACGAGAATCAACATAACAGTTGTGAATTAACTACACTTACATCAAGCGCTGCCAACTTCTACTACAATCGTTACAATTACGAATGTTTTCAGACGTACCTATAACGTTCCCCATTTTTTCTTACGACTTATTAATTACCAAGTTCGTCATACCACAATCAAATTGTTATTGGCAGCATCGTATATTCGGGTATTTTTCATTTTGCACCGCCTTCGAAAAGGTTGAAATGTATTTAGTATACTATTTAGCGATTAAATAGATTTTATTAATAGCTGTGGAACATTGGTATAAATGAAATAGAAATTATTTCATACGTTTTAGCGCAGTTGTATTTTCTGTTGAAAATTATTTTATTTCACACTTTTTAGTGGAACAAACAGTATTTGTCGGATGCCGTAAGATGGTTTACGATTCTTATTGGATAATTACAATACATTTTTGCAAGTGAAATATCTCCTATTAGATGTGAAAGGTTTCATCGCGATCGGTACATTCCCCGCAGTCTAAACGCCGAAAGATATAAATGAAGCATTACGTTTTTTGCGGTAAAAGTCGTTAGGAATGAAAAAATTCAAAATATTTTTTTTAAAGGACCAATCGAGAGTTATACTCTACAAGATGCAAAAAGTTTCGTTCCTATTGGTCCATCCGTCTCGGAGTAAGCGGTGAACATACACTAAAAAAGAAAAAAAAATATATACTGATGGAATTGAGTAACCTCCTCCTTTTCGAAGTCGGTTAAAAAAGACGCGACACCATCAATTACTTCCCTTGAATGAGAAAAGGAAAAAGTAAAATACAGATTTCTCTCAGTCATCCGTAAACAGGTAGAGAAAGTTTAACATTGAGCAAACCGACTCTGGTCAGCATTAATTTCTCGCATAAGACCGATGCGTATCTCGATTATTTGCGCAACCCGTTAGACTGCATGTTACACAGTATACTTGTAACAACGTTGCAACAAATATCGTGCTTAGTAATCTCCATCAAAATTGAACGTTTATTTCATAGGCGATTTTACCTCTGTTACCTCTGCTATGATACATACGTATCATAGATCTTTTATATGTACAATTTACTATTTACCATCAACAAACACGTCGAAACTTTATGCAAACAAAACTGGAACGCATCATGGCAAAGCTATAAATATAAGCGCACTCAATAAGTTAACTCTCGGATGACAGACCACGGAGAAACCTGTAATTTTAAATTAAATCCTGCTATTAGGTAATTATAGTTGCCTCACTGGTATGAGATGTTTTCTTACCAAAAGAATCGATGCTTAAAATTCACCCAGAAATTAATAATAAATTGCTGATGATTTAAATTACGATTTTTTTTACAATGATCCCCGTTTGTTATAAAAAGTTGAATTATCTCACAAATTACAATTGAATCTACTTTTAAAGCAACAGATTACAAAAAGGAGTTAGAGAGTTAGAGAGCTTCGGTATTTTATTTTTTCCTATTATCTATCAAATATTGAAATATCTTTGAAGAGACAGGAAACAATGTATTTTTCAATTAATTGCGTAAGTGATTGTTTTGCATGCAAAATTGCATCAAATAGTATAATTAACATACTTAAGATCGCGATTCAATGTCTGATTTGATCATATTTGACATACCCGTTGCAAGTCAACTTCCTTTCTAATCATAACTGATTGATCATTTCGCAAACATAATGCCATTACGAAAAGCAATCCTGTTAATAAAACTTTTCCTTTAGAATTACGATTGATAAAGTTATTAACAATCATTTTCTATAGTAAATTTCTCAATTTGTAAATAAATCTAAAACGCTGTGCAAACCTATGTTATTAGTATTTTATCTTTAATACAAAATTGTATAAAATATTGAAATGTGAAATTTTCACCTAAAAATATTAAAGTTCTAAACTTATAAATATTTAAAAGATTATTTTGCGTATTATACAAATACCTTAATGTATAAAAAAATTTTAACATTTTCATTTATTGTAATTACAAAAAAAACGCTTAAATAGTTCAGAATTTTTCAGTAAATTAATTTTGAATAATACATTGTACAAAAATTAAATGTGGGGAATTATTTCAAAACAAAGTAGTACCTGCTTTTGAAATATTAATTTATATTAAAACATTTTTATTTCACGCATTTTTAACTTTTTTAATTTTTTATATTTTTTGGATTAATTTTTATCGGGTATCAAAATTAGTTGCTCGGGAAGAAATAATTAACGAAAGAGTTACTGAATCATCAAAAGAAAAATGTCTTTTATAAACTTAATTTCAATTATACCACGCCACTTGATTATCATCAATTTTCAGATGTTGCTGATTCAACCGACAGAGGAGATGTCGAAGCAGATTCGTGTGGAGCTGAATGAGAATGTAGCTACACGCGATAAAGATGTTGAAATAATCAAGGAATGGCTATCCAAGCAACCACATTTGCCTGCTTTCGATGGTAATTACATTTTAATATTATTTCTTCATTACTTCTAAACGTTAGACTGCTTATGTTAATATTTACACTCTATTCCTTCGTTTCAGACGATTACAGGATAATGACATTCCTTCGTGGTTCGAAATTTTCCTTAGAGAAATGTAAGAGGAAGCTGGACATGTATTTCACCATGAGAGCAGCAATCCCTGAATTTTTTACTAATCGGGATATCACCAGACCAGAACTAAGAGAAATCACTAAAATAATGTAAGAGACCTCTTTGAGATTATCAGAAAATATTTCCAAGTCTAAGAAATTTTTACATTATCAATCATATAATCATTAACGATATTAACTCACATCATCATTAATATTAGAATTAGTGTTCAATATACACTTGATTTTAAATTAAAAACAAAATAAACAAATAAATAGATAAAGAATGAAACATAAACCAGCATATACAATAATACTTTGTTTTAACAAAATCGATAGTATGTTTCAATGAAAACATTTTAACTTTGTAATTTAAAATAAACAACCCGAAATCTATCATTTTGACCCCTTTGAAAGTTCTGGTGTTAATATTTTGAATATAAAATAGAAGCTTGCTAGTCACAACAAAAAATGACTAATTGTAGTTTGACACGATTTAAGAGCCAACAGGAATGACAGTAGCACCTCGAGCGTAGTAGAAGTGAAATATAGAAAAGTAATTTACATTCTTCGGATACAATTAAAACAGAAATGCATAATAATTATATAGACGTAGAGAGCGCTTCTTGGGAAAAATTGTAAAAAACGAAAATGTTCTTGTTCAAAAATGCATGTTTTATAAAATTTTAAAAGCCAAATCGCAAAACTGTCTTTGTACACCGCAGAATAATTCTACAAGAAATATTTTTCGTGGGATTATTCCCACAAAAACTGAACTATGGTGCTTCGACGATCATTCTACAGGGTGTCCCAGAAAGAGTATAAGCCGATTAAGGGGGTGATAGTTGGGATGATTCTTAACAACATTTTCCTTTGCGAAAAAGTCCCGAACGAACAGCTTGGCACCCGGCTAGTATAGCAGGAGTCATTGGATAAATAAACAAATTGAACAGATTGAACATTTTTATTCGTTGCTTAAAATGAATACAGAACGTACAAAAAGAAATTCTAAGCAGTCTAAGCAACAAATAAAAATGATTGAAATGAAATGATTAATAAGCGTTTGAATTGGAGGGTAGGTTAATGATGAAAAGTTTGCGAAAAAATTGTTACGTTGAAAGCAGGTAACTGTCACTTGATCACTGTGTCGGTCCTAACCACTCGACGAGGAAACACGTGTGGCAGAACAGCTGATTTAAAAGTCGGGTTAATGAATTTGCCTAAATCGTTCAGGATATAGGCCAAGCTCGGTTTCATAGCCGTGTTTTCCCTTAATAATTCAAAAACGAACCTTTAAATAACATTTTCCTTTACGAAAATTCAGAATCACCCCCGCTATCAGCCTCTTAAACGGCTTACACTCTTTCTGGGACAGCCTGTAGAATGCCAGGTTCGTCACTACTTAAAATCCAAAAAATAACCAATATCTTTTTGCCAACTTCAGCTAGCCAAAAGAAATAAAACTTGCTACGCGACATCTCAACAATATTTAAAAAAGAACTTGTGACAAAATACTGTTTCTTCAGCTTAAAATCTTTGAACTACGAAATCGCTAAATTTGAACCTTTTTATGTTAACATAGCTGTTTGACTATTGCGCTATCGCTGTCTCTTCATCTCGTGTAAATTCAGCATAATCTATAACTATTTTATAATTTGCAATTATAGAGATTATATTATTGGTAAAAATGTAGTTGTACCATATTAGAAATCTATACCATAATGAAATTCTTTCCTCTGAAATAATCATTTAAAGATAATACTGTAGGGCAGACCTGGCTAACTGGTGGCTCACGAGCCACATGTGACTGTTTTCCCAACATACCTATTTCGCTAAAGAAAATCCACTATAGGTTTGAAGGTGCTGCTCGTACTGTCTCCGAAAAGGTTGAAATGTATTTACTTCTACCTACACGATAATCGTTAATATACTTGTTTACAAATGTTTCAATAATATTTTTTAAATATTTTTATCTGTAATATACGTAAATACCATTTTGAAGTACTTTCTATTCTACAGTTTCTCTTGTCATGTATTTTGTCAGTTACAGTATTGTTTAATATTTTTCATTATCTTTAACAATTCTGGATAAATAGTTTGAAAAAACTGGAGAAGTTTGAAATAATGTATTTCCAAAAAAAAAGATTGTCTGAGCGGACTCGAACCTACGAAAAGAAACTTCCAGCGGTTTAGCAGTCAGACGCTTTACGGGGGGAACCTCATGTAAATGGTCTGTTTTTCAAGAATTTTTTTTGGAAAATGCAATGCGCAGATTCATTTAAAATTTGAAGTGTCATTTATTAACGTTATAATGTAAACAGAAATATTTTTTATAAATTTTAATTTTTAATAACGATGGTGCAATGGCGGGTTGAAAATGGCATCCTGTAAATTCGCCGTGCAGCGTACAATGCACAAAAATGATCTGGAACAAAAAAATCAAAATGGAATAGCTACTTTATGCAAAAACGCTCAGCATGACATTTTTCTTTTATTAAAATTTTCAAAATTGCGAAAATGGCAAAGTTTTGAAAAAAAAACCGGAGTTTCGGTTATGAAAAATTGTTAATAACAGTATTTTAAATAAAAAATAAAGAAATCGGAGCTCGTCATGCTAAGGCCAATTATTTATAGAATATATATGCCAAGTTTCATAAAGATCGAGTAATTAGTTTTTGAGCTACGTTGCACGGCATGCGAAGTTTTGCGTTTCAAGAAAAATGCGTTTAAAACTTGAGTAACAGAAAAATCGTGAAAAAATCGTAATTCATTTTAACTTGCCACGGTTTTTTGTTAATCTGCGATTCCAGGGCCATAGAACAGATCTTCCTCTTCCTCAAAAAGTTGTAATTCAGCCGTTTTTTCTTCTTCACTTTCTATCTCAGCACTGTTAAAGTCAAATTTTTTAGGAGCTTTCCGCCGTCTGGGACGATTCGGACGATAATTAGGATTATAATCTTGCACCTTTCGACTCATTTTCAATTTATTCGTATTTTAAAAGGCTCAATAAACGATCAATTTCCCTCAAGAGACGCTACTGAACTGACAATGAGCGAGGGCCCCTCGCCGAAGGGGCTTCTTTTGCAAAACCGTTATACACATTAATGTACACGTACAGACGCCATAAACGGCAATGCTTTGGTGGGGATAACAACTAGCGTACAATAGTATAGGTTTTAACACAGTCAGATTAAAAAGGGACCGAAAAACCGAGCGTCCGACGAGGGCTCGACTACCTGAGCCGCTCCGCCCAATACAACCGTTCACTTTATTTTGAAAATAACATACAAGGACATCTCTAATCACTTTCTAACTTTTTTATCGCATTCCCGAGGAAATTTCCTATCGATTTAAGTGAAAAAAAAAAAAATGCTCAATTTCATTTTACATGAGGTTCCCCCCTTACCGCTGGGCCACCAACACCGTTGAAAATACTTTTAATCTTTTGAGATATAATGGACGTAACGTACTTTTATCAATTACGTTTATTTAGTTTAATTCCTATTCTATTCCGCTGCATGTAAAAACATTGAACAGTGTATATACCATGTATTTGATAAATAACAGACATCAATAATATACACTTATAAAAAAAATGTGATCGTAGGACCTCATCTCCTTCAATACAAAATCGCCATTTTTCAGCATTATTTGACGTTTTTGATTTTTCACGGCTTCAGTTTTCAATCTAAAAATCTGAAAAAATTCTGTAATATGTGCCTCACAAATAGAAATGTCTCTGATTCTTTTCAGAATTTTCGAATGTCATTAAATAGGAGAAATTGGCCAAAAACCTCGCAATTACATTTTTACCCGTAACTACCCTCCCAGATGAGATACAGGGTTAAAACTTGGCACAGACTGGTTTTTTTTTATCACCTATCGAATGGTTCATAGCAAGTCGAATTTGATTTGGGGGCACTTTTGACCATCTTATCCGGCTATACCCTTTGCCTATTTCCAGGAAAACGGGCTACACTTACGAATTTTTACTTCAGAAACTATTTTTCCAGTCGAGCTACATTTTTTTTCTTTTTTGTTTAATCAAGTTGAATTGGACTAATATAAAACAATTTTTCTGTCACAAGAAATTAATTGTTCAACATTGAAAATTATAAAGAAATTCCTTGGTAATGGGCTGGGGGTTGTTAAATTAAAAAGTAACAAAAATGTTCATATTCCTTGAAAAACCTATGAAACTTTATTCCCAATCTTTCATGTAATATTCATTCTTCCAGACAAATGCCTCCATTACCAGGTTTGACAAAAAATGGCCGTCGCGTGATCACGATGAGAGGTATAGACAAGGACTTTCCAACCCCGAGCGTAGCCGAAGTAATGAAGTTGGTTCTTATGATCGGTGATGTGCGTCTGAAAGAAGAAGTAGTTGGCGTCGCAGGCGACGTTTACATTTTGGACGCAAGCGTCGCGACACCAGCTCATTTCGCCAAATTCACGCCTGCTCTGGTAAAAAAGTTTCTCATTTGCGTTCAAGAGGCTTATCCGGTGAAACTGAAGGAGGTGCATGTGGTGAACGTCAGTCCAGTAGTTGACAGCATCGTTAATTTCGTGAAACCATTCCTCAAGGAGAAAATACGCAACAGAATCTTTATGCACAGCGATATAAAAACACTATACGAGTATATCCCTAGAGAAATATTACCGACTGAGTACGGTGGTGATGCTGGCCCCATTCAAGCTATTCATGGTTAGTTGACAATTCATCTCTCGTGTCATTCAATTAGTACAATTAATTAATTTAAAACTGTTTATTTTTAGAAATCTGGTTAAAGAAACTGGAAGAATATATACCGTGGTTCGCAGAACAGGAAAATATAAAAGCGAACGAAGCTCTTCGACCAGGAAAACCAAAGACTCATGATGATTTATTCGGTCTGGATGGATCGTTCCGGCAACTGATGATCGACTAAAGCCAGAAAAATCCACGAATTTGTGATATTTTCGAGCAATGTTTTATATCTCGGTGCTAAGGAGGAGTAAACGTAGCTGAAAGAAGAGGACACATCAATCTGTAAATCTTTAGATGCTTCTACAGGATGATTCTCTCGCTACGCAAGACAAAAGCCGTGCCGCACAATGGAACCCCTGCTGTTCCGTTTCTTGTCTTCGTCTCAGCCATAAACACACACAGAGCACTCTTGGGTCCGGCGATATGGCCCCTGGATCTGTTTACCCGCAAAAACAGCAGGGTTCGATTGTGCGGCACGGCTTTTATCTTGCGTAGCAAAAGAATCACACTGTATGTACACTTCAGTGCGACATAGCCTTCTTCTAGGTCAGGCTTTGGAGACTTGCGGCTTGCGAACCGTATGCGACTATTTTCCCCACTTCTGAACGACTCCTACTATACGCGTTCGGAGTCTGGGAGGAGAGGGGAAACTCGGAGTCTATATACAGGGTGATTTTCTTGCAGCCGGACATAAAGGAACATTGGCGACAATGAAACCCTTGACCGCGCTATGAAGAGGACCGCATTGTCACGTGCCAGCGGGGACCTACCCGGGCTGAAATGACTCTGTGTGTGTACGTGTGTGTGTACGGACCTCTTCATGGTGCGGTCAAGGGGTTCATTGCCGCCAGTTCCATTGTATTCGGCTGCGAGAAGATCACCCCGTATAGGAGGCATGGTAAGAGAATGTGGAGTACTTAATAAGTAGGGAAACCTGCAGACTAGTAATGGTGGGGGTCGTATAACGACAGTGGTGAAAGTGTTGCTCGGGCCTGTAGCTCAAAGTAGGTAGAGTGAGACGAGTCTCTTACCACTTGTCTTCAATTTTGGAAGAGCCAATGCAGCTTAGCATGTTCGAGTTGAATGTAACAAACGCAGCTCGGCTGAAATAAAAATAATGATTGATGTTACAAAACTCAGGGACACGTGTTGTTCGACCCAATTTAATCATTAATCATCCGATGCTTCAGGCCGTTGAATATTATATACAATATTTTCACGTCTTTTTATGACTTCTTAAAAATTGCGGCCTCTCTGTTAGTCTCTACAGAAGTCTCCAGCCTCTCTGTCTATGTTAAGCTTGGGTGTACATGGTTAACCCCTTAAACATTATGGTTTATCACTGAAAGTACCGTCTATAGTAGCACGAATTTTTCACCTTTAACGTATATTATGTCACTGTAATTATTTGAGAAAAATTTTGACCCTAAATAGCACTGTTATTTCGTAAGAATTAAAAGGATTAAAAACAATATCGCATCTTCTTCAACTGAACTGTCTTATCTAATTGTGGATTCAAGACATTTGAGAAAAATTATGAAATCATGCAAATTAAACTATTTCTAAATGTGTATAAAATATGTTGGGCATTATAACTTCACTTGAAATGTAAACAACATATCAAAGTTCATATATTTAAAAATATTTTTAAAAAATGAAAAATGGTAGGTAGGATATTTTAACCTTAACTAAAGAGAATAGTATTATACAAATATACATGTTACGCATAATATTATGTTTGAATAATACACAACTTTTTTAAACTGTACATAAGAAGAATGATAATATAATTATGAATATACACTACCGTCAAAAAGTTTGGAAACAAAGAAATTTAAATAAATAATTCAACTGCATTGTATAATTTAAAATATATACTTCACCTATATAGTAATATAGAAGAGAACAGTATTAGAATTAAGCAAAAGAATACAATGTAGAATCACTTATCTCGACTACGCTGCGTCAACGATTTCCGCGATCTCTGTTTGCAAACTTCTTGGCGGTAGTGTATGAAAAGTAAAACGTAGAAGAATTGACTGTTTCATGTGAGTAACATGTAAGGATTTTGTCATGTTTCTCTTTAGATCTTAACTTTACTACAGATTAAAATTGGATCTCTCTCCATAGTCCGACGCTTGAGGGTTAATACCGCTTGTATTAGTAATATTAACTTTATGCAATATGTTACTTATGAATATAATGTGAAATAATAATTCCATGGCCGACACTGTACATTGAGATAGATGAGAATTTTAATAATAACATGCATTAATAATATGCACGATACATCCATCGTTTCCCCTTTGTGTTGACTGGCAAAGGCGTGTACATACAATATACAAAATAACCATTTAAGGGGTTAACACCTTATCTACCTCATTTCAAATGAAATGGGTGAACACTGTATTTAGTTGTATAACTAGATAGAAACTGAAGTTGAAGAAAATAATCCATATTATCAAGGTTTCACTTAAATTTTGTTATTTCAATTAAGTTATACATATGAATTAACAATCATATTTCATGAAATCTGTGACCTTTGTAACATTATACAGTATGTATCCCTTTTTGTATCCAAAAGAGGATCTATTGATGGGATTATATGTATACAGGAATTTCTTATCAATTTCAAAATTATAATTGATACATAGATACCAAAGGCACAGATACGTAATATTAACCATCAAAGGATTAATAGATTTCAGAAATATGTATTTATCTTTTATATAGCGTGAAGCATCATTATTTTTCACTTATGAATTTTTATCATGTTGAGGATTGATTGTTTGAATTGGTTTATGGATTATACGGGTGATTGTGAAAGAGTATGATTTACGATGAATATTTGTAATAATAATGTACGAAATTTAATTTCTCAAATCTTGTTAGTGAATTGGTTAAAATCTTGGGAATGAACACTTTATACGGTATTTTTTCAATTGTTCGTCATTTTATAAATAAAGCACTATTTTACTAAGACTATGGGTTTCAGTCGTCCTAGATGAATAGCGCAATCATAATTGACAGATAGGGAGTCAAAGATATGTTGGTTCATACTTTAGCAGCATCATGATAATATTAAGTCTAATTTTCGTAACTTTTGTTTACATCAGACAAAGTTCTCTGAAATTTCAGAAAATATTCTGGTATTTATTAAAAAAAATTTTCAGTTTACTCTTCTAACCCTCTCACTCTGTCCTACATATTGATATACCCTATTTTTTATACTCCTGTGTTCGCAATAATTGAAAGATTTAGAAATTTCATATATACCAGGAATAATAATGTTACGACTCAAATACTAAAAATTTTAACGAAATTTCAAAAAATACATGAAATTGCGTAAAGGATGAAGTGAGTATCCTTTACTGTAACTACTTTTATTTTTATCATTTTTGAAAATATTTTGTTATGGGGGATTAGTAAAAAAAAGGGTTAAGGTAATACAGTTCAAGTCACAAGTCACAGTATGTAGTCTGTTCATACAGTAGATTTTCGTTGTATTACCGCGGACGGGACTGTGGAATGGACAAACTTCCAAGCTCTCATTTAAAAGGAAGAGAAGAGATAGAAATATATCAGTTTTATAGACTATTATGGTGGAAGGGCGACACTGGTATGCTTTAAAATCCATGTAATCGTCAAATTGCTCACGTGGCAATGTAACGATGGTATACTGTAATTTAGGACTTATTCTTCAGGAATTATTACAAAAACCATATTTTTAATTCTTACAATAAGTATCTGTTAAATAAGAAATAATTCTTCCGATAATCGATATTTGAAATTTCAAAGAGCTTTTTCTGTAAATATATTTAATGTAATTCATTATTTTATTACTTTTTTGAAAAAGGTTTTCATATCAATCACAAATTTCAAGTTGAAAAATTATCAGTTAGCGTTTCAAAGTATTCACAATTTTGATAGATCTATTATTTCGCTATAAATATCAAATATTGATTGGAGACTTTCAATTTTTATTGTACTTGTATTCATTCATTTCGATATAATTGGTATTGAAAATAGGTTACATTGGTTACGTAAGTTACATAGGATACATTCACTCACCGACGCGGCGTGAATGCGTTAGTGAATTTGTAGCCAACTTCACTGCGACAACTTCGATGAAACTCACAATCAGTGTACATACATACATGTAGTTAATCTGCAATGGGTATGTTGATTCCAGTTGAATACTGTTTATTTGAAATTATCAAATTATCACTTGGTGACCCGCGTCATAGGTTGCCGACGTCTGTACTAGGATCTTCCTAGTAGAAGAAAAGCTTTAATTTTGCGCCGCTTCCGAAAATATTGAAATGTATTTAGTATACATTTATGTATAGGTTTTAATAATAGCTGTGGAGTATTGGTATAAATGAAATGTGAAATTTTATGTATTCGCTAAAATTAACAAATACTATAATATTAATTATTAAGATAATAAAATGCATAAATGAATAAATTGTATCTTGTATAATATATAATATTAAAGTACTTACTTTTTACATAATTTAATAATTAATATTTAAATTATTACTTTCAATGTGTTGTAACGTGATATGATTGCCCCCCATAACCCCCCCTCCCGTTACTTCGCTAAACTTCATTTGGCTTTGCCAAAGCCTTACCTTCTCCTCTACCCTTGTTTCCCAAAATTCCCTACCCCCAGGATCGAGTGTGTTGAAAGAGCAGGAAACATCGGTTGACGACAGCTCAGCGACCCTTGCACCTCGAGAAGAGGAAAGTCCCCCCTCTACAAGAGGAGCGAAGAACCGATGACTTCAAGGGGCAACCCAAAGAGAACGTCCTGTGGACAGAAACTGAAATGCCTTAACAAATGTCCCGGTGGTGCCATCTGTACCCAGTAAAAGGACCCTCACCAGGAAGTGCGTCGCCCATTGTCCTCCTTATCGACCCGTCTTCAATTCCGATCCCCCCCACCAATCAGCCCTTGATCCGATTGACCAATAGGCCCGATCCACACTATTGGTTCGGTCACGGTCCGCTCTCGGTCCGGTAAAATATAGTACAATGTAAATCTATGAGGGTATTTGTTATGTCCCCAGTCATCGACTCAGCGTTTTCACGCCCGGCAACGCCCGCGACACGAAGTCAAGGAACTCGCGGAACGCGATGACGAAAGCCCTGTGCTGTCAGGTTTTGAGAACATAAATTACTGACACGAACAAGACCAGGCAATTCCTTAATTACGTGAAGCAGAAACGAAGCGCTGTCCGTGCGCGACCCGCAGTAGACCCGCGTCTTAGGCTACTCGAAACCAGGAAGATCATCAACGACGTGCTCGGCCGAAGGTTCAACACGAGTGTATCGCCGTGATCTGAGATACCAGACCCATAATTGAACAAGAATCATTGAATAGTAAAAACCTACCTCGTGCTATTCTGTTTCTTAGTACTGCAGCATTCGGCTTCTCTTCTTGATTATGATTGTACCCACCCCTGCTGACCTGACGTTCAGTCGTCGGTGCTGGGCAGGTTGCAGGTTTTAGGTGCTTTTTACTCGAATTTTTAAACGTTAATTACTGGAAAACAAAGCCGTAAACGCTATTTCGTCATTCTTGATTTTCGTCTTATTTTGATCCCTAGAGCACCCCTTCAAAAATCTTCCACCTGTTGTCGAACATCCTGTATAATATATCGTAGTTAATAAAAATATGTATATCTATAAATATGCTACCTATTGTTAATTGTACAGGGTGTCCCAGAACTGGGGTAGGAGCCGAAGAGGGATGATTGATGAGGTCATTCTAAACAACTTTTTCCTTTGCCAAAATGTTGGTTAAGGCTTCGTTTTCGAACTATTAACGAAAAACATTGGCCAATCAGAGCGCGCCGTTAACGCTGGCCGAACCACGAGAGTGTTGGGTATGCTTTGCGCGGTCGTGATCAAGTGCAACGGCACTATGTCGGTGTAATAGGATTCGTTGGGCAGAAGTTTCATCGAAAAATGAATAAAAAAAAGAAAATAATAATAGTATCGAATTATTGATTGCTCATGAACAACGAACAAAGTAATGAATCGTTGTTCATGTAGAATGAATAAATCGAATTGATCCAACACTTTTATTAGTTGTACGGTAGGAATTTAAAGAAAAATAAAAAAAAATACTTTGTAATCATTTTTGAAAAAAATATGGAAAAATAAATATGCGATTTGGAAATAAAAAAAGTTTCCACATAATAAAAAAAGGATTGAAATGGAATAACTAATAAACGTGTTAAATTGGAAAACATTCAAAAATAATGTAAATAAAACTTATCCATTTGTTACGCGGCATAGCATACCGCTCGCGGAACTATAATAGCAGTTTTATACTTTTAACACTCTTACGGTTTTAACTATCGAGAGCAATAAACTCACCGTAAGACATCGTTCGTTTTTGCCTTCTATGTACCTTATACAGATGGTAACAACGATAAATTCATGAACCGATGAATTTATCGCACCAATTTAGAAACACGGTCAGTCATGTTCAATAGCACATTTTCTAATTGCTAGAAACTTTCCTAAGCTGGTCGGAGTATTATTTTGTCACGTTCCGAAGCAATCACCATGAAGCTTCAAAAGGTCCAACAGTAAACAGACCTTCTGCAGGACAAGGCCCGTAAAGCCAGAACGTTTATTTGGCATTCGCATTGTCCACAAATGCTCGCGACGAGCAGTTTACAATCTTTTACGAGGTCTTGCCATTCTCTTTACTTAAATTCTAACTTCCTCTTCCGTGTCTTAAACGGACCCCCTGTGATGCATGAGTCAGAACAAAACCCTAAGGGGTCCCGAACCATCGAAGCTGCATACTCAGGCACCACCGGACACATGACCATATACCTCGACGGTATAGCCTGACACAAGGGTCTTGAACCGCCTGTCACTCGCGCCTGGGTCACTGCCGGTTCGGGTTGTAAAACTCTGGCGACTTCCACGTGCATCACAGCTGCTGAGTTTTCGGCTAGCTTACATGGGAAATGTCCAGCGAGGTGATCTGCTAAACCGTTCAGCCTATGGCCATTAGTCAAACTCCAAACGTTTGCTAATTGGCCACTTTTCGTCAACACCTCCCTCGTTGGACTACCTCTCTGCGACTCTTTGCTGACCGTTCGTAAGGCCCAGGAGAGGGAGAATACAAAACTTGGAACGAAACATCGAGACTCGAAGTCACTTCTCGTTGATTCTCGGATCTGATCACATCGTCAGCATTCTTAAAGTCAGTCTCTAAGAACAGTCTCAGACAGAACTTCCTTACGAACAGTCAGCTTTAACGATTCTATCGATATACCTCTGAGGTACTATCTTACATACACATATAGACATTTGTATAATACGTCTACGAATTAAACATATCTATAATTCAGTGTTCAATTAATTTATTCTCCTTACAACGGTGAAAGATTGTAAGGAAGTACGCATCTTCCGGTGGTGGAATCCGCGTTACATAACGGTATCTTCTACCGCGAACGCGTACTAAACACCATTCGTCCGTAAATGATTCAGTTGCAATGAAAATGGTTTGCTGTTACTGGGTCATTGAGCAGATCCTGAACATTCGAGGAGGGAACACATTACGAAGAACGGAATTTCTTCACAGAATTTCACTACATGGTCCGAATTTGTATTGACTGTCACGTTGCTATTGCACTGGACACAAAATGAAAAACATGTAATATTCCGCACTACGACGTAACGTTTTCACGACGTTACTGGTCTTCCTTTCCAACTTCAAATGAGACTGTTAGGTTGAGCGTCTGCGAGGTTTTTTTTCGCTCTTTATCCTTTTCTACGTTTGGCTATATTCAAAGGGTCGACACGAGCCTCTCTCGCTTACTCTCGATTACTTTCGAGTGTAGAAAACGACAAAGAGCGAAACACACTTCGCAGACGCTGAAGTTGAAGCTAGTAGTCCTATTTGAAGTTGGAAAGGAAGGCCAGTAATGTCGTGAAAACGTTACGAAATAGTGCAGAATATTACGTTTTTCATTTGTGCGCAGTGCAATAGCAACGTGACAGTGAATAAAAATGTTTATTTAGTTGAAAGAATCGGTCCCTTTCGCACGACGTAGTGAAACTCTGTGAAAAGTGATAGTGACCGTGTGGTTGAGTGAGTTCAATGATCCCGTCTAGAGATCAGCTGTTCTTCCTAACGTGTTCCCTTCTCGAATGTTCAGGATCGGCACAATGACCCAGTGAAAAACCATTTTTATTGCAGCTGGATTATTTACAGATGAATTGGTAAGTTTCATTTACATTCAATCCCTTTTTATTATTTGCAAATTTATTTTGATTTCCAAAACGTGTATTCGTTTTTCTCATTTTTTTTCAAAAGTGACTACCAAAAAGTGTTGGATCAATTCGATTTATTCATTCTACATGAACAACGATTCATTACTTTCTTCGTTGTAGCGTCGAAACCTCTCCAACATGGAGAAGTCCCGCATTTCAGATTAAGATAAGGACTGAGGTAGGTTCATAAATAAATTTAATAATAATTGAGCCAAAGATGTTTGATTTTATTGGCTCTCAAAAAACGAAGGGGAAAAGCCATACGGCATAAAAACCCCTGTTTCTTAAAATATATTTAAGAAAAAACGAATTGAAGCGAGGTGCGAGCGATCGCATGTAATATTATCTTATGTCGTATTTAAATTAGAATAGTCATATGTGAAGCCATTGCTCTCCGGCTCATAAGTACGATTACGTGTATCTTGTATTGTGTAATTAATATGTGTATTCAGGGTGGTTACGTGATGTAACCAACTCTACGGGTCGTCGGTGCGACTGCAATAGTCGACATCCGAACGACATCCGAGTAACGTGTATTCAGGGTGGTTACGTGATGTAACCAACCCTACGGGTCGTCGGTGTGACTGTATTAGTCACATCCGAACGACATCCGATTATTTGAAATTCGAAAAAGATCCGGCTCTTGCACTCGCGAACTAACCATGTCACGACCGCGATCCGAACTGTACGAAGTCTTCTAGCCGACTAAACAGGCAAGCAAAAAAATACCCGGAAATCGCCTGAAAACTCTAGCATAAGAGGGGTGGCATTTGAAAATGTCCTTTCTTTCTTTCTTCCTTCTATCGATGACGCACGAGGGACAGCGAAACCGTTAGGTCGTTTATTACTTGCACGTGTTTTCGTGGAACCGAACCGAGCGAAAACCGATAGATAAAGGCCCTGCCTTGACTCGTCCTTCGAATCAAAGGGCTATTCCCGGCGTCGAACGCGCTGGGCCACTTGAGATCATAAACCTCCCTCGATCGACAAAGGTTCTCAACCGCGTCTGAACATTCGTTGTTCATGAGCAACCAATAATTCGATATTATTATTCTTTTCTTTTTGTTATTCATTATTCCATACAACTTTTATCCTACTATACTGACGTGGTGCTGATGTACTTGATCACGACCACGGCTTAAACGCAGAGCATACCCAACACTCTCGTGGTTCGGCCCGCGCTAACGGTGCGCTCTGATTGGCCAGTGTCTTTCGTTAATAACTCGAAAACGAAGCCTTAACCAACATTTTGGCAAAGGAAAAAGTTGTTTAGAATGACCTCACCAATCATCCCTCTTCGGCTCCTACCCCAGTTCTGGGACACCCTTTAATATTCATTAAAACAATTATAAAAAATTTCTTTTCCTTTTAATCTTATTGTTAGACATGGTGAAAAATATGCAATAGAATTACCTTAAAAACTGCTGCATCATAGCTTTTTAATTTCAGAATGCATCAGATAAATAAAATAATTTTTAACAAAAAATACAATCGACTTCAAAATGTGCTAAAAAATGTAAAATAACTTATAATTCATTGCTACAACAAAATGCACTAAAGAGTATGAAATAATTTCTATTTCATTTATACAAATATCCAACAGCTATTAATAAAACCTATTTCCTCGTTAAATTGTATACTAAATACACTTCAACCTTTTCGGAGGTGGCGCAAAATTAAAAAATTGTCCTCAACTTGTCCCGATTGTCAACTTTTGAGTAGTCGAATATAGGCGAAGCGGGTATATCTGTCTCTTTCCTATATAACTCGATGACACGGTGCGGAGTCCGTATTAGTGCGTATAGAATGTACAGGGTCTACCATTTATCTCGCAACCCATGCGCGCGCAAATTGATGAAAATGGCAACAGCGCAAGAATTCTAGAGATGTAAAAATCCGTACAGTTAAGTTGGTAATTGATTCGAGATACGAGTACATCGAGTTTCATCGAACTTGTCGCGGCGTGTGAAACTAACACATATTCACGCCGGAGAGCCAATTGGCGAGGGGCACGCGAAGGAGGGATTGCAGCCAATTGACTGCCGTCGTGAATATGTGTTAGAGTCACACGCCGCGACAAGATCGACGAAACCCGATATACTTGTATCCTGAATCGAATCTCGGACGACAATTCAGTTGATTACCAACTTAACTGTACCGGTTTTACATCTCTCGAATTTTAACGCTGTTGCCATTTTCATCAATTTGCGCGCGCATGGGTTGCGAGATAAATGGTAGACCCTGTATGGTCCATCTGGAATCATCGAGTATGCAGTGGAAAGACCCGATCGCGGCATATTCTAGAAAGAGACAGCCCCCCTGCCGCAAAGGCAACCCCCACGCCGAGGGTTCCGTCCATAAGTTCTTAGATCCATGGCTTTCACATACTAATGAAGTCGATTCAACTTCATGTACATCAGAAACGTTGCCATCTTCTGATGCAATCGTTACAATTGCAGATGTTATTAGCCGTATTTATAACGTTTCGTATTTTTTGTTACGATTTATTAATTACCAAGTTTACCGTACCGCAATCAAACCGTTATTGGTAACATCGTATATTCGGGTATTTTTAATTTTGTGCCGCCTCCGAAAAGATTGAAATGTATTTAGTATACTATTTAACGATTAAATAGATTTTATTAATAGCTGTAGAATATTGGTACAAATGAAATAGAAATTATTTCATACTTTTTATCGCAGTTGTTTTTTTTGTTAAAAATTATTTTATTTCACAATTTTGAGTGGATCAAACAGTATTTGTAGGATACTGTAAGGTGGTTTACGGTTCTTATTGGATAATTACAATAACAATAGTTATTAACAATGACAGATTCCATAAATTTTTGCAAGTGGAATTATCGCAGAAATATCTACTATTAGATGTGAAAGCTTTCATCGTGATCGGTATATTTCTTGCAGAGTAAACGCTGAAAGATATAAACGAAGCATTACGTCTTTTGCGATAAAAATTGTTAGCAATGAGAAAATGCAAAACGTTTTTTTAACGGGATCAATCGGGAGACATACTCTACAAGATGGAAGAGGTTTCGTTTCGATTGGTCCATTCATCTCGGAGTAATCGGTGAACAAACACAGAAAAAACAAATATATACTGATCGAATTGAGTAACATGCGTATAGACAGAATTCACTGTAGTGGTCACGATATTCTTTCGCGAATATCTCCGAAACTAATCGTAAGCGAGTCCGACATATAGGTTACAGGAAAAAAGTTGTTTGAAATGTCGAACTTTACAAAATTTTTTTAAAGTCGGTTAAAAAAAGAATATTGGAAAGAAGGAAGTGAAATTAATCACTGACCTAGTTGTACCGAACAATTTACTTCGACGCTTCAGTTTTTGCCCTGTAACAATTGGAGATTTCAATTAATTTTACGCGTTTCTCGACGAGATACCAAAAATAAAGCAAAAAAGGAAAAGGGTACAATGAGGAATGAAAGTGGCTAACTAATTGTAGGTTCGAAACGACGTTGTTTAAATTGCTCAAGTTTCCGTTTACGTTTATTCGTTTTCTTGATGCAATTAAAATATTCCAGTTACTGAGTGCAACGTCAAACACCCATTTATACGGAAGTTGAAACATTGTTGACCCACTAAATGACCATTTAATACACCCATAGTCACTGTTGTAGTACCTACTACATTTCGTTTTCAAAAATATTTCGCAATTTATTTACATTAAATATGATTATCCCCAACAATAAACCTGTACTTTCTTGATGTATTTAATACAAATGCATGAAATTTCAAAATTAATTATCCAAGTTATGAGATGTGAATTTTTTAATCATCACTTTTCTTTTCACACGTTAATTATTAATATGTTCACAGAATGTAAATAAAAATAGGAAACTGAGACACACATCTTTTTGTCGTTAATAGATCCTAATAATGTGATCTTTTTTATTTTATATGCATTGTATAATGCACACTTATATGCTTTACATATTCATTTTGGAGAACTTACAGAAAAAACGCTTCCCTTCCGATTTTAATAATAATTTAATTTTGTAAAATTTTGTAAAATTCGACATTTCAAGCAACTTTTTTCCTGTAACCTATATGTCGGACTCGCTTACGATTAGTTTCGGAGATATTCGCGAAAGAATATCATGACCACTACAGTGAATTCTGTCTATACGCATGTGTTTGTAACAGTCTATTTTGCAACCATAACCGCTTACTGACACAGAGGCACTGGGCCCAGCAATCTTGTATAGATCTGTAACTCCCCGCCACTTGCGTGTAAACGCTTATGCGAGAAAATTTGAATTGACATGTACTTATTATTTCTATTTCTCAGCTGTATACTAAATTTCATAATATTCAATAATTAAAAGTCATTTTTTTTCTAAATTGTTTTTAATATAGATATCGTAATAATAAAATAAATCTAAATGATTTATATTTTGCGATGTTATATTTTCTTTATATCGCCATTTTTCCTAGGGAAGCTTCATTTGATCACGGGTGTACACATGCATATTTTTTACTCTAGTCATGAAATAATTAAAAAAAGAAAAGAGGATTCTAATTAGCCTTAATAGATATTACATTAATTTCGTAAAATATTAAATAGAATTGGAAAGTTAAATAATTTGTATTATTTATTTTAAATAATTATAATTATAATTATAGTGCATATATTACATATATCCATTTCCACGGCATTTAACGTGTTAACATAACAAGATAAAATTTTTGTTAATTATTATTTATTTCTCTCAATTATTAGATAATAATAAATTTGTAATACCGGTTATCGATGACCACCACGATATTGAACGTGTTAAATGCTATACGAGTACTTTCGTTCACCTGAAGAATCACCCCCCCTTCCCTCCCCACCTGTCCATCCTCTGGCTGGTTGGAGTCGTCAGCAAGTCACAATCGTCGGTCAGTAAGTCAGTCAGTCAGGCACATGATTGATCAATCGGTGAATCGATTAAATCGTTCAACACGGTTAGTGATTTATTATGATGAACATACAAGTTAAAAAATCTGTTTTCGCTGTTAGTGAATTCACCTTGTCAAATGTACAGTGCGTTCGTGTGACCAAGTGAATTATCAACCACTTTTTCAATGTTTTTATTCTTTGACCCTTTAGCTATTGAAAATCTCAGCCAGAAGTCTTCTAATCACGAATTAAAAATTGAGAATTAACAATTTATCCTATCTTTAAGACTTAACGTTAATTAGTTTTCTATTTACTAGTGTTAGTACACTCTTGGACCTTAGATGCACTTTTATAAGGTGCAAAATGTGCATCATTGCAAACGAAAGTTCAATTAAAACACGTTGAAAGTGAATCAATGGTGTCGTATGCTATTTGCCGGGATAGAAAGGTACAACTGATTTGAAAAATTCATTATTATCTATTATTTTTAAACAATAATTAATTTATCTATCAAATTGACAATCCTCATAAATTCAGTACCTTCATAGTTTTTCCCTACAAAATTACTGATTAAAATTAAATAATAAGGCAATTTTCAATCACTGTAAACAGCACACGAATAAATAATTTTTTTTCTGATACAATAGTAGGTATAACATTTTAGAAATGAAGATTTAAATTTTAATTCAAACTCTGGATCATAGGTTGAGATCTCTGAGAATTATTACTAATATTTTTGACCAGTATTTAAATAATTACTTCACAGTTTTCGCTTAAATATTTTACCAAATCCAATCATTTTTTAGATATTTATAAAATTTTATTAAATATCTTGTAGTTTTAAACTGTAGTGTAATGTGCATCATCATTTTCTAATCGATAATTTTATGATATGCAATCTGTTAAATCTTGACTATTCGACGAGACAGTACATCGTTACTTGGCATTTAATATTCTTAATTGTAGCCGTATTAGAGGAGTCAATGATAAACACTCTGTCTGCATTGAAAGTGTCGACTTAACGAACATTGAAGGATCTTTCAGACATATTTATATGCAGTATGCATGATTTCGATGAGTCACGCGAAATCGACAGCTAAATAATAAAGAATCAGCTTGACACTAACGAATTTTTTTTATTTATCAAGTCCACTATTGTAACAAACAAGATTTAAAAACATTTTCAGCGAAACACTGTACAGTTGCTTTACATTAATTAAAAATTTAATTTAAAAAATGAAGTAATTGTGCAGAAAAGGAGATTATCTTACATTAATCAAAATTATTAATAATATAACATATCAACAAATTTCTTATTTGTTTCATTTGTAAATAAACCCTGAATTAATGAAAAAAAATATGTAAGAAGGGGCTTTAGTAAAAACGTCTCATTCTCAATATCAAGCTTTAAAATCTTTTATAAGTAAACTTTTTGAAAAATTATTCGTACAACCTGTAGCATTTTTAAAGGGTAGACCAGGTTCCTCATAAATTTTCAATTTTGAAAAGTATAAAATTTATAAACTGGAATTTTCTTATTGTAGAATTTTATAATGATAAGAGTTTATAATAATAGTTGATATTTATGGGGAAGGTTTATAAAGTTTTGGAAGTATTAGCTCCACCTTGACCCCTACCTAGTTACGCTAGTGTCTACAACTAGTAACAAAAAATAACAAAACTATTCCTTAAATTATTCACAATAATTGTTTAATTATTTTTACAATAATTCTCAGAATTAATCGAAAATCATGTAAACGAAATCACACCAACATTTTTCAAATTATTCACAAACTACAAAAGGGTTCTGCATCTCTGTACAGTGTCTATCTCACTTTCCTTAAAAATTGTTTTCCATGAAAAAGGGAACAAGTTTGCAGAGGAAAGAAATAATTAAACAAAATATTCCAAGAACTTTAATGAAGGCAATAAGCAAAGCCGTATGTGTCAATGAATGATGGAGATCGAAATTTCAGTAACGACAGAGAATGAGGTTAATTTGTCCCCTTCTAATTAGTGGAAGTCACGAGAGCATGTCCAGTAAGAAAATTACCACTTTTCTGACGGATGGAATTCGTAATTGCAGTACAAGAGTACTCAACCAATCATTAACTCGTATCGAACTGATGCATTCGATCCATGTATGAAACCTCTTGTCAATTTCATAGAAATTCGTTTCCACTTCCTTCGTCGTTTCCGGTCTATCCTGTTTTCTGCCTCAATTTCAATTTCTAAAGACACTAATCATTCTAATAAAACAGAATATTCTGATTCAATTCTTGAACATTAAATTTAATTATTGATTTATTTACCCTTGAACAGTGAAGGCTAGGTCAATCGTAACCCAATCCTACAAAACATATACAAGGGTATTAACCTAAAGTTAAATTTATAATTTTTAAAGTAACAGTGTTAAATTTAGAAAAAGAAAATTATATCAGATGCCAAATTAAATTAAAATTGGGTCTCTCTCCACGGTCAGTCGGCCGAGGGTTAAAGTTCGAATTTTTATTCAATTTCAGCTTAAAACTTAGATAATTTTATTAAAATATTAATATCCCATTTCTATAGATGTACAATAGTAAACAAATATTGTATTATTTATAATATGCGGTAGTTATATGAAACTGACTCATATTTCAGCCACGTTTTAAAATTTATTAACCATTGAAATGTTATGACTCATCACTAAAAGTGCAGTCTACTGTATCATACATTTTTTAATACTAACGTACATGTGTTACATGTAGCTTATATACTGGGTGTCCCAAAAATAGCGTACGATCCGAAAATCACAGATATTTCTTTCAAAAAGAAATTAGAAGTTCCTTTACCATTTTCCAATCTACAGTCTCATTTTTGAGATATATGCAATAATAGTAATACGTTAAGTTGGATTATATTTTTTTTAAGCATAATTTAACTTGACTCAAACTAAACTAAATAATTTTTTGCTTGTTGCACCTCCTTTTATAAAAAAAAAATTAATTCATTCTTGTTTGGTTTGGAGTAGAATAATGATAGGTTTGATTAGATAATATTTAAAAAACATATATTATATGTATAATATTAGTAATTTGACTAAAGCAGTTTAGATAATTTATGTTTCCTACATGTACATAAACTGATTGTGAGTTGCATTGAACTTGTCGCAATGAAGTTGGCTACAAATTCACTAACACATCCACGCGGCGTGAATGTGTTAGTAAATTTGTAGCCAACTTCACTGCGACAAGTTCAATGCAACTCAGAGTACATCCTACATAAAAAACAATGTAATTTGTAACTGCATTTGTTTTCTAATGATTGGATAAAAGAATTTTAAAGAAATTTTTAAAGAACGAAATACAAAGAAAATAAACTGCCTCTCAAATGACCCAGAATTTGACGTTCTCGATTTGGATGTCGTCCAATAATTTCAAATTCTGTAACAAGAATAAATTTACGAGCTCGAGCTCTTTAGGTGTCTAACGATTTTTATCGGTCTTATTTAACGATTCGTTGACGATGACCGTGCAGACAAAATATTTTTAGACTGTAAACATCCACTTTCCAAACTTCCTGCGTGAACGACTTCCTGGATACCTCCGCAATTATTTTACCGGGAAATATCTTTGATGGAATGTAAATAACGCGAAGAGAGAAGGATTTGAGCGTTCGCGTGGTTCTCTTCTTTTTCCTATCGCGAAATCAACGGCTAACCTTTCGGGGAATTAGTTCGAATGAATTTGAGTTCATGGAACTGGTATTTTTCAATAAAAATTATTCGTTTAATATAACTAATGATCTGGGTGTACTTCCGAAAGGCCCCCTCCACCCTAGGGCAGCCAATCTTCGGATTTATAGTAATTGAGGGACGAGAAATCGAATGAGACCATTTTCAGGTCCGGCAAATAAACCGTTCTCGAGATATACATATAAATTATACTCACATTCGGCTTGAAAATCATACTGCGCATACATTCAGGAGGGCGTGAGGCTGCGCAATGGCTCTCTTACTCCCTCGGAGAGTCCTTTGCTTCCTCACGTGCTCCCTCAGCAGAACCAGAATGCTCACTCGTCACTCTTCCATCAGCTCTTAAGGGGGTAGACACGGGTAATTACCGGCAAAAATGAGCCTAAACATGGGTTTACGCGCTCCCGTTATTCGTCCTTGTATGAGAACATTTGCGACGTCTCAAATCGGAGAGGTCACGTGCCGTGTCTACCCCCTTAAGCGGTCAACTTTAATTCAAATTTTAAAGCTTTTGTTCTTTGATTTTGATTTTAGTTTTTCTCATTTCCTCTATTACTATAAATCCGAAGTTTCCCCAAAATTTAACTTCTATAAAGAGAAAATTGTTTTACATTTATTTGATGTCTATGATATTGTTAACTTCTTAATTTTACGTTTATTGCTCATTAATTAATTGAAATTTATTTAACTTGATATAATTATTTTTAAATAACATTTATTCTTCATTTATTCAATGTTTCAACACTTTTATCAGAATATAAAATAGTTATAGTTTGCAACATTTTAACAATTTTTCTAAAATAAAATTAGACTGTTACTTACTTTGAATAAAAAGATAATTTTTATGATTAGCGTATCATCATTTTTAGAAAATTACCTGTTTATTATTTCTATAAATATGTTACTTTGTGGTGAATGAATAGATTCTGCTCACCATATATTGAATAGTAGTGTTTCTAAATGTGTGAAATTTGTAGAAATATAATTAATGCTTAAGTGATATTTAGTGGAATTCAAATGCAATTTTCTTGAAAACGAAGCTAGACGTACATACACAGGTGTTATTCTACATTTTCAACTTGTTTTTGCACCTAGAATGGTCCCTTTTATGATTGCACCGTTAATACTTGGACACCATCTATATAATTTCCATTGACATTTTAATATACAAACATGATAGGTTGTAATTGACCAAACATGGTAGGTTTCCATAAAAAAAATGGTTTCACCACTTCCTATAATGCGTTCCCCATATTGCCACTTTTTTACAAGCTATTAATGATTATTCAAAAGTTACGGCACAGTAAATACATTTATTACAATATTTTTAAATGTCTTTTTAAATTATTCAAATATTGAACATATGGACGCAACTAAATTTCTTTATATTTTATATTTTTTAAGATTCCAAGATTAAAGGAAGCCTTAGAAAACAGATGGACTGATCATGCAAAAAATTAAGATCACATTAACATCTCAAAAAGTATAAGAAAATTTAATTACGTCCATTTTATAGGCTCCTTGTAGTGTTACATAATTCATTTAAACTGTTTTTTAATAAGGCAAGAAATAATGAGTTATTTTAGATGTAATTCTTATTCATTCAACCTGTACATGCTGAATTTATGTCCATATATTTTGACATGTCCTGTAGAAACTGTATTCCGTTCTGTATACAAACATCGACAGTATGCAAGGTAGCCTTCAATAGAAATCGTTAACGCAAAGCAAAATATAATCGCGAAGCGGAAACAATCCTATAAACTCCGTTTGCACGTTTTCCTCGTCGGTGACGTCTCGTTTGCAAAAGGAATACATTTTCCATGGTAGAATCGTTATTTCAACTTGTTCAGATTGAGATTTATCGGTAAACGTGTTTCAATGTGCCTTCGAGTGAATTTTAAACATTCACCTGAGGAAGATAAGTGTTATCAAGTATCGCTAAATCGTTGTTTGGAATATCACTTTCATTGTTTGTTATATACATAGCACAAAACGTGATGCTAGGAAATTGTTTGATTTTTATACCATCTTTCTATGTGCTTAATTACTTGCTGCAAATAAGAAAAATGTTCAGACTGCTTTCTTCTGTTTTGTCAAAGTAATTTATGTGAATTTGACGTTGACAGTGAATATTTGAACGATTGTGTAAATAATGGGGCTGAAGAAAAATAATATTTCAATTGTAGAATGTACAAATTGAATTCGAGAGGGAATTTGAGCGAAGATTAATAAGCAAGTTGGAAAGGTATTGTAACAAATAAGTGATTTAACCCTTCCAATAATCGCCTACCGAATACAAGATAGTAATCTCAATTCAATCATAGAAATTTTGCTAATTAATTATTTATTACTAATTTTCATAATTTTAGCAAATATTTTCATTCTTAAGTATATATCTTGATATTTATTAAATTGTATAAATTATTTTATATTTTTCTAATTTCATAGCGCTGGATCAGAGAAACACTCTTCAATTGAGGCTCCCTCCATGGTCCGCCATTCTTAATAAACAATAGGAAAAATTTTAATTGCTATTTTAGATACCATAAACGAAGTTAAATAAAGAAAACAGATGCTACAGAAAAAACTACAGTAATTATATGTATGAAAGAAATTATTAAAGGGTGACCTGTACAATCTGTGGACTCTCTAGTTCTATTAACTCTAAACAGTGATAATATACTGATTGTAAGTTTCACAATTTATTTTGCTATAGTAAAATAATAGTGATCCATATTATTATCCAACGTCACGATTAACAGTTTAAAAAAAGAAGTCTAAACAAAAAAGAACAGAACATAAATAATTCAAAACTTTTACGAAGCAGCGCCGCATCAAGGAGCGGTTTACAAGGGAGCTATAACCCTGGGCCGTATTTAAAGCCTTCCTTTGACTACGTCAAAAAATACTGAATGAACTGTTTTAACCTTTGTTCTTTTTTGACGATTAAATGCTATTTAATTTTATTTAAAATAAATTTCAATTTCAAAACCAGAGGTACTCTCGAAGGTTTGATAGCCCTGGGCACCAGGAATTTCAATCCGGCTTTAATGTTCGTTTGATATTTGGAATTTAAAGTGTATGTTTTACACCATACATGTACGCTCTTCGCAAGTGATTATTCGGCTTTGGAGGACGTATACATGCATACGCCGAATACAGCAAAGGGATTAAGAAAATTGTTTTATATATAATATATATAAATATGAAATATCAGAATGGATGAAGTTTAAATTCTGATATTCTATATTTAATTTTTGTTAAACGTTTAGTGTAAGAACCAATTCACAGTAATTTTGTCTTTAGAATATTACAAAAATATAAATCATCTACAAAGTACTATTTTTCTTTTTGTTTCCAATATTACAGAACTAAAAGATCATCTAAATTAAGGAAACCTGAGAAACAACTTTCGAAATAATCAACAACGGCTGAAAAAATATTCATTTAATGACGTCTATGTGTCTATATTAAAGGAGAAACCGCAATATTTGCGTTCAAGAAGAAATTTCATATAAAATAGAAAAATATTTATGAAGAACGAATATCCTGAAGGGTCGACATGTATCTCAAGGCATTATGCACATTGATCCTGGCGAAAAGGTGATCAAGAGTTTCTTATATTCCCATGTAAGCATTTATGGGATAAAGATCAAGGATGGAGCTGAACATGTTCTTCGTCTACATCGCGGTAAGTATTTATCCTTTATAAAGAGTTAAATTATTCGATCCATTCCTTTGTACACCATTTAGCAATATTGTACCTAAAATTGGATGCACAAAGTGTGATTAAACGCCTCTAAACATTTGAAACTTTAATATCTCTTATACATATATAATGAAGTTGCTGCAATATAATTTCATATTTCTTTTTCATAGTTTCATTAATACAATTAGAATTATGTAATATATTCACCCTCCGACGCAACGGCGGACCATGGAGAGAACCTCAATTTTAGTTTAATTTTGTATTTCATATTATGAAGTGTATGTAAAAAAGAATGTAGAACTTAATTAGTATTAGCATCTAAAGACCTTCTTGCATCCAATAATACAATTTAGATGTTTAGAACATTGCTACATTTAACGAAAAATCAAATTATATTACACGTGAAAGAATCAGTATGTTATACTTAAAGTTATATGCACGTTTTATAATAATAATACATATCACTACACGTCGCGTCGTTTGCAAAATATGCATAATCGTCAATGTTTAACTCTTGAACGAAGAAGGCTAGGTCAAAAATCTTAACCTAGAGTTAAATATATAATTGTTAAACAAAACGGTTTTATATATTAGAAGAATAGTTTAAAAATAATAGCGTAAAGTTTAGAAAATGAAAGTAATAAGAAATACTTATAATTGTGGCTCTCTCCCTGATCCGCCCTCCGAGGGTTAATCGAGCATAATGTGCACTATCAGCAATATTAAATAACAATTGCAAAGAATCTATGTGTATTATTAACTTACTTTTTCATTGCACCGCGTCTAACCATGAAATTAGCAAGTAAATCATTATCGTACAAGGAAATAATTTTCACTGAATAACGATAGAAATTAGCTTTCGATACATAAAGCTTTAATTAACAGTATCCTTTTGAGATAATGTATGTGATCCTAATGAGAAATTAGATCTTCCCAGCCGGAAACAGCAGCCGGGACATCGATTTCCGGTTTGTATGTTTTACAAGCAGACGTGTATTACCATCACGCGAGTCTGCATTCTTATTATCTATTAAGATCATCCTTCGAATCGGTACTACAATAATTGAATCGATCATTGTGAAAAAAGATCATTATCTAAGAATTCTTTAAAGAATCGTCATTATTTTTTAAATTTCACAAAAGAAAGAAAAAAACCTGATTTAATTCTAACCTGTGTATAACCCTTGAACAACGGAGATTAGGTCAATCATGACCCAAACTTACAAAACATATGCAAGGTATATAAACTTAAAAGTTACATGTATAATTTTTAAACAAAAGGGTTTCATATATGAACAATGTAAAATTTAGAAAATGAAAATAATATGAAATACACAATTAAATTAAAATTGTGACTCTCTCCATGATCCTCCGTTGGACGATTCAAACATTGAAATATACAATATTTTATCTACGAAATTTTCCAAATCGACCATTTTATTTATATTATCTTTGACCAGTTTTGATCAAAGTGCAGATTTATATCAAATTTATACCAAATCAATTTTCAATAGCTCATTAATTAAGCATGCTTGATTGAACGAACTTGTAACAGCGTGTCATAAAATACCTACGCTTTAAAATAAATGCATTATAATGTGCATATAAAATATGCAGTGTTTCTGAAGATTGGTCTCGATCTGATTTATTTGACATATCCTGACAACATTCATTTGTGTTATAACATACATAGCCACTTTCACCGTAGAAGTCGCCATTAAATCGCTAATGTCCCATCATCTAATTGTAAGTGAAACTCTATAACTTGCGTCATTACAAAGTTGCAATCTTTGTATCGTTAAATCACGTACCCGTCTTGTTGCCTTTGAAGATATTCCAGCACAGCTGCAATAACTCGTTGTCTCATATTTTCTAGTAAAGTTGGTATTTCTTGATAGATGACATTTTTACGTGCTCCACCGTGAAAAAAATCTGATGGAATTAAACTTGAAGAACAAGCTGGCAATGAAACTGATCCTCCGCATTCTATGTATCAGAACTGAGATATTTTAAATATAAAAACACTTATTTCCCTACTAGATATGACATTTAATGGGAGCCTCCGAACGTCTGTTAAACACCAGCTTTTTCATTAAAGATAAGAAATATACAACTCTATTTTAATGCAAGAATTTGATCTTCAAATTTCATTTACTCCTTCATTAAATGCAGACAATTCACTATGATCATGAGAAAGAATTCAAATATCCCTTGCCAAATTTTTCTATTATTTGATATATTGCATATATTCTTTGAAATTTTTTAACTAGGAATAAAAATGCTTAATTAAATCATTGAATATAATATTATAAATAAGAAATAAATGTTACTTACTTGCATTCGTTTGATTCCAATTTATAAGTGTCTGATATAAGAATAGTAACAAAAGGATGCAAATGGTACTTTTTGAAATGTTTGAATTAGGAACTAAAGTGGTTAGTTAACTTATTAAATATAATATTCTAAATTAAAAGAATATCCCCTGGATTCCTTTGATTTTAAAAGCCTTATATATTTTTGTTATGAGTAAATAGGTTTGATTGTGTTAAGACCTGATAATGTGCTAATAATGAAATTAATATTTAATTATACTTTTATTCTCTAGCCTCTCGTAACATACTATTCGCTTATTTAATAAAAATTCAATCATTTTTATCCATGTTAATTCCATTTGCACACGATTTTGCTTACAGTAGTCTCTTGTCATATTGCCGCGGTCGGGGCTATAGAAGTGGAAAATTTGTGAAGCTTTCAAGCTTTCATTTAGAAAAAAGAAAGAAGATAGTAGAGTACTATCTTCATCAGACTTTAATTCTGTAAAAACACGGAATATGATTGAAAATTCGTGTGAAAATCGGCAATATAACAAGAGAATTTACTGAATTTTATTTTTTAAACACCGCTTGTCCTAAATAATTCAAAATATACTCTACATATATTTGTCTTACTATTTCATCTCTTACACTTGTTACATGAAAATGATAAAAATATAAGAACGTTTGTACTAAAGAGGGTATAGTATACTGTAACAGCAATGAAATCTGCGGAAGATCGCAAACGTGTGGAGAGATTTCGCTGTGATAAAAACGTGAAGACACGAGTGTACAATAAGCTCCGTGTTTGCAAAGGGTATTGGCGTTTGTCATACAGATATTACATGGTCGACGAACCTTGAGAATTTCCTGGAAACGACGGATGCGTCACAAAAGAAGCTCCAAACTTATTTCACCTACAGTTTCACTCATATCCCAGTGAACGTAGAAATTTTATTCGATGTCGATATAGAGAACTACTATTGACGTTTATTCTTTTACATTCCTTTTATTTATTTTGTGTCACATCAAGAACTAAAGTTATTAACGAACTGTGTACAATTCATTGTACAAAATCATTAGATTATACACATTATATATTATACATTAGAATACCTATTATACATGTACATACATTGTAATACATATTATGTAGGGTCCCATTTAAATCAATCTACTCGAATATTTTCGAAAATATTGATAATACACAAAAAATCTTTGAGACAAAAGTTACATGATTTCAGGATACAAATTATCTAGTGCACCTTAATTTTTTAAAATAACACGATACATTTTTGATTCTATAACGTTGTAGCAGATGTCCAGACAAGTTCAACGACTTATAATACTGTGACCTTCTGATGACCTAAACTTCAGAAAAACGGATTATATTCACAGGAATATTGAATAATAAAATTTGGTTTAATAGGATGTTAGATCAGATTCACCATTTGCAATTTATAAAAACTAAGGTTATTTTTATGTCTTTCCTAGACGTCCATATAGAAGAAAGCTACTTTCATCAGATAATTTGCTTCCTGAAATCATACAACTTTAAAATTTGTTTGTATCATCAATATTTCCGAAGATATTCGAGTGGATCAATTTAAATGGGACACCTCGGGTACTAACTATACATGCCTGGATACCTACCTATGTATAAGTAGAACGTGATTACATTCAATTTTTGAGCATAACGCTTTTTCTTTTAAACCTTGAATAGCCAAGCCTGGGACAATCGTGACCCAAACTTACAAAACGTATATGAGGATACTAACATAAAGTTAAATGTATAATTTTGAAATGAAAGGGTTTCATATATTGGAAGAATAACTTTTAGAGAAAGAGTTTAATATCTAGAAAATGAAAATAATATGAAATACAGGATTAAATTAAATTCGTGGCTCTCTGCATGCTCCACCGTTCATGGATTAAGGTTAAAAAGTCAATTCGACGCCTAATATAAACAATTAACATTGTAACTTTTGTTACGATATTTTACAATATCTGTAACACAAATGTATCGAAAAAGGATACTCTTTTCTTCTGTGCAGGAACCATGCTTTTATTACAACTGTAATTATTTTTGACTGACAAAAATGACTGGCTTCTGAACTCAAAAACATTTTATTTTAAATTACAGAAAATATGAACCATTTAAAAGTACTCGAATAAATAAGAAATTATAATTAAGTTGTTGTTGCACTAATGGAGACAAATAGCAGATGTAAAGAATAGAATCAGAAAATTGTAAATCGTTCTCCTGCAAACCTAGTATAAACTATAATAGTTACAATGTTGTCCATATTATAATTCTGGGAGGCCAATTTTGAGACTAGTCATAATAACTTGACTATCGATGTTCACCCTTGTCATCTTTACTCTACTATATTTCACTAAAGAACTCATTATTTCTTTTCTCTTAATCAAGATAAACAACATTGATTAAATATCCTGCTGTATCCATAATTTGGATACAGATACTGAATGCAGAACATTTGCCAATGATCGAGAATGATTGACCTATTGTATTTAGTATTCTTTTTAGTTGAATGAAACTTTTGTATTTTAAAATTGTCCTTAAAGACCAGATGATTTATAATTTTAGCAAAAATATAATTACATTTTTTGCAATTTTACCTACAAAACAGGTTCATTTTAGGATGGACT